AACGCCTTCACCGCATGACAATAGCTAGTGGCAGCCAACGTGCACTGGATCGCAAATTATTTCTCCCCACGCTGCTTAATGGCAGAAGTGGTTTATGAGAATGATGATGATGAATATGATGAATCCTTTGTCTTTCTTCCCACGGGTTTCACTTGCAATTGTTTATTCAAACACGGGAATTTGCGAGCGTATCCTTCCCACGTTTCCCTCGCTTAACAGACCCTTCACCCTAACTCGTCATATTGGGAACCCCTTTGATATTCTGGGAATTCCCCCTCATTACACGCATTTTGCGTTAATGTCGTATTGTGTTTTTGTGGAGTTTCTTTTACCCCCTCCATCCAAGTCTTTCTTGGTCGACCTCTTGACCTGTAGCCTGCTGTTCTCATGTAGTACACTATAACTGCTGGCTGATTTTTATACCTTATTAAAAGATGACCAAACCATTTTATTCTTTTATGCTCTGTGTAGTCGTTTAACTATTGTCTCTTCTTATGTTTCTCTGCCACATTTTTTTTTGGATACATCTCATCTAATACTTTGTAATTTTGCATGATCAGATGTATAAGATAGACTTTTCTGCATCGGATTTAATCCCATGTTGTTCGATTCCTTCCCACAGACCAGCAAGCCGCTAGCTGAGTCAGGCAAAACATGAACTCTGCTGCTCCGGCGACGATTCCCAGAGATTTCGGTCAAATCTGCATTCATGAACCCAACGACGCAAACTTCAAAACCAACCAGTGACCTTCAGAATGCTAGGCAAATTCTTTGATCACCTAATGTAGCGCAGTGATTTCGGTCATAGGCGTGAGGGAAAGTTAAGATTTATGTATATTTGAGGTTTTGTTCCAGCACGTGGTCGTTTATGTCGTTACTTTTGGCCATGCTGATGTGATTAAAAAAGGGGAAAATAGTTCGTTAGGTGGGGACTAGAAACAAGAATATTCTAGTCCAGGCAAGAGATATTCTGTGTAAAGTTTAATATAGCCCCGGTAACGAATAAACTAAACTAAACAACTAGACTAGTAAACTAGACACACTAACTACTAGAAGTCCTAAGCTGAAGGAAACAACTGTAACTATGAATACAACGTTGAACATAATTTTTATTTAACTTCACATCAGCATAGCCAAAAGTAACGACATAAACGACCACGTGCTGAAACAAAACCTCAAATATACAGCAATTTACCATCTAACTATTTCTTGTCTAGAATACAAATGAAAATCTATTTTAACCAACTAACCACTGAACGTACCCTCGACTGCCATCAGTCCGACCACGAACGTTACCTGTGGTCGCCATACCTATAGACCGGCCCATTGTGCAAAGCATCAGTCTGCTAGGTTCGGCTTCCACAGGTTGGTCCGGAAGTCAAAACAGGCTTGAAAATTTGTCAGTCGGCCGTCTAAATACCCCGTGGCCTGATTTTTCCCCATCTTCCGTCTGACTATTAACTGCCAATGTTTCTCCTATTTGCCGGTTGGCATTTTCAAATCAGGATAAACCTTCAAAGACCTTTAATCTGTTGTACTGTAGTCTTCGTCGCTTCCACCCTATTACAATTGCATCAGAGACAAAACAACGTGACTCCCCAGTAGCATGTGTGACAGGTTAGCAAGCATGAATGTGTCAACCACGTTGTGTATGTGGCGGGAAATGTAGAAAGATCCCATTATCATATATCAGTGTGATATCATTAACTGTGGTATATTAGTTCTTGTATGTTTATTTATTACCCTACTGACTTTATAGATGCGTGGTGTGCTACTGTGTGTTTTAAGTTTTGACTGTGCATACTACAGAAACCTGGCCAAATATTGTTACAATACCTCTGTAAATGCTGCCTTGTTGAAAGTTACAGATCCCGGCTCTTTCACTGAGGGTACAAACGCACAAGGCATCTCTAACAACATTTCCCGGTACTGAAATTGTTGAACTGAAAGCTTGTAGAGGCCTTACATGTGGCTCCTGAGTAAAAGTGTTTGAATATCGCTGAACTAGGACATTCCGACAGAGTTTATAGCTGGTGAACACGAAGTAGAAGAAGATGATTTCATTGGAGTTAGGAAGCTCATGCTTTGTGCCATGCTCTTAGTCTTTCTATAGGGATTCTACTTTCTGATCTTCGATTTTGATGTCAGAGCTTCTCTCATAAATGTCTTTTTTCTAAACATCCTGTATTGCCCTTTTTCTTTGTTTCTTTTTTTAATATTTGCATTCTGGTTTTTGATTCTAATTCAGAGATTCACGCATAAGTATACAGTTTCTATACTTCTAGTTTTGCCTTTTTGTAGTATTATCTTTCTCATCTATGATTCTGATGTCAGTGTTTTTATCTTTGATTCTGATGTCACCGTTCTCATCTTTGATTCTGATGTCAGTGTTCTCATCTTTGATTCTGATGTCACCGTTCTCATCTTTGATTCTGATGTCACCGTTCTCATCTTTGATTCTGATGTTACCGTTCTCATTTTTGATTCTGATGTCACCGTTCTCATCTTTTATTCTGATGTCAGTGTTCTCATCTTTGTTTCTGATGTCATTGTTCTCATATTTTTTTCTGATGTGTTCAAGTTCAGCAACAAGACTAACATCGAAAAGTGGCCAAATAACCAGAACTTTCTGCTATAGTTTACCACTAGTGAAGGCGAAGAAGGAGATACCATGGTTTTTTTTAATGTTTTATATTCTCTTTTGTTCGCTATGATTTTGATGTCAATGTTTCTCGCATAACTGCTTACTTTCAATAACTCGTGCCTGTTATTGCTTGTCATTATCTTTTAATAATGTCTGTGTCTATGTCTTTTTTGATAATTCGGAATAGGTACGGAGATTTGGCAAGACACCGGAGAGCCGCTCTTTTATTGCCACAACTGTTCTGGTTGTCACGTTCGTGAACATGCGCCCCCTGGCTTGGTACACCTACTACTGCTACTACTACCACACTGACTGCTACGCTTCGGTGAGTGACCCTAATTCTTTGTTGTTGTCTGTTTGTTTTTTGTTGGCTTGAGAGAAGCTGTGTTCCCCTGCGTGCTTTCTGACTGAAAATAAAAATGCTTAAGAAAGTAAAGACAGAATGGGCTCAAAGACAGTGGCTAGAGTCACGCAGGAAATCCCGTCTGAAGTTTATAGGTTCAACTTTTTTTTTTTTTTGCCAGACCACTCTAGGGTGAGTGGGAATGAATGAGCAGACTGGCTTGCTGGCAGGACCACGATGGGCAGAGGAAAAGCAATGGACCCATCCGATGCTTTCAGTGTTTTTAGGGAGGCAGGACGCATAGATGCTTCTGGAGAAAAGGGTGAATTGACAACATCGCACCCCATTCCACGATATTCCGTGCAAGTTTTTAGTACACTTGATTACATAGCGAAGCGCACACGTCATTTGGAGATGACAGGTTAGATTTCCGGCACGGTGGAATTTGCTTTGTTTTAGCGAATACTCAGTGTGCTGTCTACAGAAAATAATATAGCCTTTTTCTTCCTATTCTGTACGGGACAGATATTGAGAGACATAGAAAATATTGTTGTCCTAAGCTGACTTCACTCCTAATTCTCAAGCAAGAAGACAAACCTCAGAAGTCGACAGTATCCAGAGGGAATATAAAGAAGTGAAGCATCCTACAAGATATGATCTTTCTCCCAGCCTATCTGGTTGAAGCAGAGGATTCTGGGTTTGAAACATATGAATTCCTATTGTTGTATAAATGGTATATTTTATATATAAATATGTATATAGTTAAATTATAGTAGCTATTGTTCACTAACATGCAATGTTAAACTAAACTTGAAAAAAAAACTGCAAGAAACGTCACCAAAATGACATTTAATTTGGATTAAGTGTAATCGTGGGACTGGGCAGATAATTATAGTTCTGTAACTTTAGTTTAAAGGTTTTAATGAATACATGTGCTAAATCTTATTCAATACAGTTAAGAAACTGGGAAGATTAAAATGATTTCACCACACACAATGGTACTGAAAATATATTAACAGAAATGGGGAATTATATTTAACAATAATAAGTACAAGTATGTTCCATAAACCTCCCTTCTTCTCCGACAGTGTGAATCTAATAAATTTAGCCATCAAATGGTATTTCCTTTTTGAGCTCTTAAACTAGTCTCAGTATTCTCTGGACCAAATCTAAATTAACTCAACATAGTGATTTATTAAGCTAAAATCCCCATGAGGTTAAATAAACTTAGTAAAGCTACGGTATAGTTAAAAAACACCTGTTTCCTTCAGTCATATTTCATCTTGCCGAAAATCAGGATTGGCCTGAGATATAACATACGGACATAAATTATCGTTTATAAAATATAATTATAATAATCAAATATACTAATTCACGTTTCCAGTATCAATTAACATTATATAAATCAACAAATATATAATATGTTCACACAAATGTATATACTAGAGCATGAAAACAGTTAGTAAGGACAAAGCCATTTTTCCAGGTTTCACGGTTTCACCCGCGCATGGGCAGTACATTTTTAATAGAGTCCGGTAGATAATGTGGATTCAAAGAAAGTAACAGCAATAGATCAAAATAAATAAATAACAGTTATTCACTCACCCCTGGTAGGGTTTCAGACTCGCAGTAGTGACTTTAGTTATGGCCACCTTCTGGTTCACCGTGTGTTTTGAAAAGGAAGTAAAAAGTGCTAAAAAGGGGGAAGTAACCCTGAGCTGATCCTCCAAATTCTCTTCACCCTTTTCACTTTATAATTAAAAAAATATTTAATATTGTTATTATAAAGAAATAATTAATAGGTAAGAAACAGTAATCCAGACCAGCTCGTCACACATGGTAACTACAGCTTTCGATTTTTATGTTATCTATGTGTCCTGCTATCTTTCTACTTCTTTCTATGAGTGCCTATCAATACATTATCTGTTTGTTCATTATATGTATACGTATATAATATTTCTACTGCCTCATGGGTTTTTTTCTGTTTATTTTTGTCACTAACTTTCACAACAGGTCGAGACCAACACGTTGCAGAGCATATACATAACGGACGGGGAGACAGCTTATGCTGTTACCATCTACAAATACGGAGCGATGAAGTGGCAATATGTAGGGGATAGAAGGATCGCCGTTGGTTTTGCTACCCCAGAGTATGTGAAAGACTACGGAATGACCTTTACCACGCTGACCACCACGCTGGACACTGATTATGGCAGTGCGGGTATTGCGTTGTCCAGTTTAAACACATTTTTCATGTACACACAGGGTGGCAAAACTTGGGTGTATTGGCACCTTCTCTACTTCTTTTTCTTTTGTCATCTCACTGATACCAGATTGTAGCCCAGTGTCTTGGTTTTGTCGTCTCACTGATACAAGGTTGTAGCAAGTGTTGTGGTTTTGTCATCTCACTGATACCAGGTGTAGCCCAGTGTTGTGGTTTTGTGGTCTCACTGATACCGGGTTGTAGCCCAGTGTTGTGGTTTTGTCGTCTCACTGATACCGAGTTGTAGCCCAGTGTCGTGGTTTTGTCGTCTCACTGATACCAGGCTGTAGCCCTGTGTCGTGGTTGTGTCGACTCACTGATATCGGGTTGTAGCCCAGTGTCGTGGTTTTGTCTTCTCACTGATAAAACGTTGTAGCCAAGTGTCGTGGTTTTGTCTTCTCACTGATAAAACGTTGTAGCCCAGTGTCGTGGTTTTCTGTATTTGTCTTGCGCTTCTCTGGTGGCTTGAGTGATGGATTTGTTTATCTTTTTGCGGTTTCAGCTACACCATTCATCCATCTCTTTCTTGGTCTTCCTCCTAGATGGTATACTGTAAAACGTCTCATATGCAGTCTGATCTTGCTGCATTCTCACTAGATGGCCAAACCATTTCATTCTTTGCCTTTCAGTTTAATGATGACATAGTTATATTCCAACTTTCTCTTTAATGTTGCTACTCGTAACCCTGTCTCGTCTAGTGAAGTTAGTGGCCTTGTGGGGACAGCGCATTTCACGCGTGGTTATCTTCTGATTTTGAGGCTTCCACTCGAAAATTTCAAGCGGAGGCAAGGAAGGGGGGGGGGGGGTAGGATCAATTTCTTCCCCTATAAAATGTACGCGAGGTTGGTGGGGTACGCGCTCCCTTCCTCAAAACAATGAATAAGTTCCTTTTTAAAAATATATGATCGTTTTTAGTTTAGCACATCGGTTCTCAACCTGTGGGTCACGACTCTTTTGTGGGTCGAACGACCCTTTCAAGAGGGTCACAAAAGACCATCGAAAAAGTCATATTCATTAAAGTTATGTAGTGGCAATAACAATAATTGTAGTGGTGTGGGTCGCCACAACATGAAGAACTGTATTAAAGGGTCGCGGTGTTAGAAAGGTTGGGAACCACTGGTCTAGCCGGTCTTTTGCAGAACATCGCTCTCATTACAGCCTGCCTGGAAGAAAAAAAAACTTGGTCTCTTGCCAGCTCTCTCGCCTCTTGCACTTTTCTACCCAAGGTGTCACTTAAATCCTGTACCCATTTTCGAGCTGGTCAACTCCTGCCCTTTATGTTACTTGGTGTCTTACCTTTCTTATACATTTTTTGTTTTTTTAACATGTAACATTATATTTAACTGTAATTCAGCATATAATTATTATTACACACTATTAAAATAATTATTATGCCAATAAAGGTCCTGGGGAGGGGGGGGGG